TATTTCAAAGAAACTCGGTCAATGTTTAAAATTCTAGTTGATAATTATTACATGATAATATTCAGCATATATGCAAAAGTCATGATATTTTCGAACGTTATCAATATCAAATCATTCATTCCACACAAGTAAACAATTATCCTTATGTATGAGGTATACTACTCACTAATGTCTTATATAATGTGGTATTACATTTGGCCCTCACAAACACAAAAAAATCTTTCATTTGGTTTTTTTTATTCGTCAAGGTACTGCCTTTTATCAGAACTTTACCCTTGAATGAAAACGTCCATATAATCAACATCTATTTCTTTTTTTTTCTTTTTTTTTCTTCATTTTTCATTTTTCGACTTGACATCTTCGTTATCAAATCGTCATTGCCAAATCACAAATCTCTGTCTGCTTTCAAGAATTATTTTCAAATCTAGCGTTGGAATCTGAAATATTTTAATACATTTTAAACATAGCAAAACGCTTTAGATTGAATGTGATTTCTTTTGAAAGTGATAAACTATGTTTATACAGTATTAGAGTCAACATGAACGTGGTTTCCTTAATCAACCTTTATCATATTTTTTCCATGCTTTTCGTATCCATTGCTATATCATCCAATGTTCCAACCATATATTTCACACACAGTCTCACGAAGACTTATTACAACAAAATTACAGGTAATGTTCCACATCCTTTATATCTGAATCAATCACTACATATTTTAAAAACATATAAGTAAATAAACGACTACTTTATGTCATGGAAATTCTCAAGGTGTTCTGAATGGATTCATAGGAACAGGATGTGTCCATTCGGAATGATATGTGTACATAAAATATGCATGATTACGACAATTAAGTCCGAGAAACTGCCAAGCTACAATATCAATGTACTGTGTATGTAAATATTGGGTTGTAAATATTATGAATAACTTATGTGTAACAATTCTTTATACATAAACTATGGCATCTTGTTACTATATCAACTAAATAACGATTGAAAGATATTCGTCTGATAGATAATTGGTTTGTAACGTTAATAGATGTCCATGAAGACATAGAATTAACACCTTTGGCGACTATTTCGAACATTCAGAATAGACCATAGGCTTTTTGTTAAGTCGATGTACCTGATTTCACAGTAAGGCAAATCATATGACCATTTTCATCATAAAAACAACCGATCAAAATTTCACACAAAATATTTTCCTCGCGGAAATAAATCTATTAAAAATGCGAGCGACCAGTTACTGAATTTCTAGAACAGTTTCCGGATTAGCCCGATCATTAAATATTTAATACATTTGTATTTCATAAAAGAAAATTCAAAGGTATTGATTTGTAATTATCAATTTACCAGTAAGATTTAAATGTATATTCACTTTTCGTTATCACCAAGAATATTTTTCAATGATATTGTAGATGGCTTAAAGATATTGATATTATCAATGACAATTTAGATTGCAAACAAATCCAAAATGTTACAGAATATATTGCACTTATGAGTATATTTGATTTGAAATGATAAATCACAAACACTCCTTGAGAAGGAAGTGTGTACTTCATAGCAGGTGCGTCAAAAAGTCACATTGGCAAAGGAATGGCATGATAGACTAAAATATCTACTAATATCACACTACATCCACAGCTATTTCAACATATCACTATGACAAGATACATAGGTAATAAATAAAAGTATGAAATATTTTTGGCAGCTTAATACGTACATAGTAAGCTGTTGTTATATTTATTTTCTGTTTAATTCTAAGATTTGTGTATCTATTTAAAGGTTATGAGGGTATCTTCTAATATATTTTTTGAAAATCGGTAACAATTGGTATTTGTATATTAAACTGAAGGAATACCCAGGAATGTGATTGGATATAACATATTTCTGTATTAAATATCAATATAACCATGTTCATTTGCATGATGAGTTTTCATATAACAATATCAAATTGACTAGTATTTATATAACAATATTAAATTCCATATAGCATATTTCATACTATCTAATTGAATACTAAGTGTTGTACAATGTATTTGAATATTTAATATATATTAAACAATATTCATTTAATATTTGATTTCATTAAAATCCTTCTCATATTAACATAATTTATACTTTATCTTCTGTTGTTAACATGACAATATCAATGACTTAAGTACTTTTCAGGGATAAATATTTCATAAGCTGTTTGATAAATCCACAACTCATTTAATCTATAAACAATATCAAGCTCTATCAAGTGTTTGGAAACGTTCATATATCTTGTAACAAATATAACTTCCACAAAAAATCACATATAGGCGTTAACTGTCTAAATGAATAGATGTAAAGATATTTTGATAAACAATGAGCAATTTGATTTAAAAAAACAGCTCCTGAGTTAACCAAGATAAGTCGTTCAAAATGACAGGTATATAGGTTTAAATATTATTATGATTTTTCTTTAATTTCATAAATCTACCATATTTCAATATAATATACCAGTACTAAGATAACGACATCACAAAATACGGGAATATCAATAATATTCTTTATTAACAAAATACACATATACAGCGAACTAAACTAAATCTGTAAAGATTATCTCCCTTCCTATGTCAGAAAAGTTGTCGATTTTTTTATTAACTGCTTTAGGTTCGACTGCTTTTTTCTATTCTAAAAAACAAAACAAAAAAATTTTGATTTGCTATTGGCATTATGTAGTAAGACATATCATCTTTATGAAAGTAAAACATATGTATTTGGAAAAAATAGGTTCCAAAATCAAAGAGTAAATTTACTTAAATTCAGGAGAGTCCCAAACCAAGATGTTATGTATCTCAAAACGACTTGGATTTGCTGTGTTCCTAACTTAAACTTTTACATTCGATCATTTAAAACAATCATAAATTATTGAACAAGTCAGAATGACATTTCCCGTAAACAGGATATTTAGAATATTTATGCTAATCACGTTATTGGCAAAATATCGAAAAAATCGAGAGAAAAAAAAATCATTTTTTTAAAAAGAACACAATCAATATTCTATGTATGGAGAGGAAAATAAATCCATCAAGAAAGAGCTGTCCACTAAACAACTGCCTGACATCAATATTTACTTGTCTTTGTGTCAAAGAATTCATGAATGAGCAAAAAAGTAACAGAGATATTTAATTAAAACATACAATAACTAAAGTCAATAACATTCACCTATAACACATCAATATATTAAGTGTGTGCAAATAAATCCTATGGCCAATTTTTTTTCAATAATACGCGGCTTTGTTCGTTAGCTCTTACTTAATGAGTATTAATCTCGTATCACAACAACTGTAACAGAAAAAAAAAACAAAAAATAAATGAAATAAATTTAGTTAAGCAAGTAACTGATAAATATACGTATCACTTAAGACAAACAAAACATTAATAGTTTGTTATAATATGTAAATAATAATAAAAAAATGAAAACATATTTATTAAGGCAGCACGCAATCGAATAAGACTTTAAAGAACTAAGTCCAGATTTGCATTGGTTACATTTGATTGAGGACGGAAAAGCCACGCCAACATTTCCCGCCAAAAGAAGAGTGGGAATAGACAACAGGCTATTTATAGCAACACAAATCTATAAACATGTCGTATTATATGTATATAAATAGGATGAAATCGATTTCCGAAGCAGACACAACCATGCTCTTAGTATTCATTAGATATAAAGATAGATCACATACTCTAGACAGTGTTACTAACTGAGATTGATAAAATCGATAAATGGATACTGAAAATGAGTTAAATCTCGAGAGTTTTTATTTTCGTGTACTATTCAATAACTATTACTTGGGATTTAAGTTTGGAACGCCTACCAGATATCTCCTCAATCATTCTTAAATCATCATTCACACAATTTAAATAATGTCGAACGGAATTCGTGAAACATGAATGCTTTGCAAATCCCACAAATGTACAGTAAATAGTTGGTCCCTCGATATAAGAACAGATAAGTATATAAAACGTAACAGATCTTATATATAATAGGGAATCTGTAATATACTATACACAGCATCTCTTTGGTAAAAATATTGCTAATTTATTTACAAGTGACTTTTTAAAAAGACGTAAAACTGGTTTTATAATTCTTCTTACACGGACAACATCCATTCAGCTCTCCTTCCAGAAAACTCTTACACATAGTTCTCAATCTTTCCAGTGACTGGGTTGGCAAGATGGCCTGTATACAATACACTAAAGCCTTGCTACCCGCGAGACTTTGTAAACCAGATTTGACGAGTTAGTGTACATGCGCTGTTTAAAGACGAATTCGTCTCTGAAGACACAATAAAACGACCAGATTTATGGCTAACTATCAAGACAAATGATGAGTTGGATGACTGCTTGCACCAGTAAGATATACACAGCTGGTCAATTCGTCCTTTGGACACAGGAACACACAAGGGAAATCGGTCAATTATCAGCGTAGACATCCGGTTGTCAGGACGCTGATTGGAAAGATCTGGGCATATGCGTCGACCCATTCCTCGACTGTTGGATATGCTTCAGGAACAGACACTCCTCTCAACACTAAATGTTTGCCTGAAGAGTGCAGTCAACAGCTCTATACTTTGACCGTATCAAGTCCTTTTACAGCCGAATTGCTTGAACGTGATTTTTACGAAATAGAACTACAAATGTAGATCCATTCATAAATCAAACAGAGAAAAAAATACCCCTTTGGACAGATGATTTCTAAGATGAAGATAGCTTTCAAAACGTAAAATGACCTATCAAGATTGTGATCGTAGATTCATTATCATAGTCAGATCCGATTTCAAAGGTTGTAGTGTATGTAGCATTCCTTCGTTTATTGAAAGGTTATCTTTAAACAGGTCACACTGAACTTTTGGTAGCTGATTGTAATTTCACTTGTGTTAAATATTGTCAAAGTGGTGTGTTGTACTTCCATTATTGACTTTTGGCCTCTGATTTGGATTTGACTGCTGTTACTTGCCCTTTGAACTCTGCTAAGCTTGACCAGATGGTTCTGTCTGGGATTTTGATTCTGTTCTCGGTTCTTCAGGTGTAGGCGTTTGGTTGTCAGCACCGTTTTCAAGCTTGACCATCTCTAGAAAAAACAGTAGAAACATTCTTCCATCAACAAACACAAGCAGGAATGTTTATCATGTACTTAACGTTTCATCTGTACTGATTCATAGGATACAGTCATATGCCATTATCAAACGTGTCATGACTGACACCATTATAAGTAACATTGCATTTAATTGGGAAAAGAGCGCCGAAGATGAAATCCATGATGTAAGTAGAATACATTTAGATTGAGTTATATAAAAAATCGTTCGTTAAGTAAATCTTTTGACATATTACGATAATAATCTCTAGTGTAGATCTTATATGCGTAAGTACAAATTGTTTGATTTGTCACTCCACTACTGAGTAGTCAAAATAATAAAAAGACCCGGATTGAACACATTATCCGTTCAGATTTCAGCATTGATAATAACATATATAAAACATACATAGTAAGTAAACAGGATACTACATTTCAGGTGAAGGAAATTCAACATGACAGTTTTCACTCTACCTCACGAGATGGCAAAAAGAAGTAATTTCAAGTTCATCAAATGGCAAAAAGAAAGAATTTCAAGTTCATCAAGTGGCAAAAAGAAAGAATTTCAAGTTCATCAAATGGTAAAAAAAAAGAATTTCAAGTTCATCAAATGGCAAAAAGAAAGAATTTCAAGTTTATCAAATGGCAAAAAGAAAGAATTTCAAGTTCATCAAATGGAAAAAAAAAAAGAATTTCAAGTTCATCAAATGGAAAAAAAAAGAATTTCAAGTTCATCAAATGGCAAAAAAAAAGAATTTCAAGTTCATCAAATGGCAAAAAGAAAGAATTTCAAGTTCATCAAATGGCAAAAAAAAAGAATTTCAAGTTCATCAAATGGCAAAAAAAAAAAGAATTTCAAGTTCATCAAATGGCAAAAAGAAAGAATTTCAAGTTCATCAAATGAATCTCTAGAAAGAGCTAAAGCAAGATTATTTATATGTATATACCAGTAAATTAAAGATTGTTCTGAAGTCTTATACAAAGTAATATCAATAACCGTTCACTATCAGCAGAATGGGACCAACGTGATATTCTGTGTTGATAAGTTTAAAACTTGAATCAATCTACAGTTCTATCTAAATTATCCTGAATTAGACTCACAATGACCCGGTCTGATATATTTATGACTTACCGTAGTTTTCGGGCCATATATCGAGAAGGTATTTTAGAACCTCGATGTGCTTTTTAAAGTCGAGAGTTTCAGAGGAGGAGGCTGGGGATGGACAGAGAAGGACGGGACCAAAACAGCCCGCCAGGCTGTCTACCGTCATCTTGTTCTTATCAGCCTTGGATGCAATCTTCTTTAGATGATTTAGCACCGCAGCCATGGTTTCCTGTCGAAAAGGAAAGTTTTCTCAATTATGTGTGAAGTGCTATTCTGGTGATTTTTTTTTATCTTCAGGCGGTATCCCTTTTAGTTGCTAATGGTTTCATCAGTAACAAGATGTGGGAGGCCTGCTCTACGCTTTCCAGAACAACTGGAGCAAAGTGCCTTTCTCAAGGACAAAACTGCGACAGCACAGGATGGTCCCTGATTTTAGCTTCATAGAAATTTAAAAAAAAAAGCGCCCGTGTCTATGATTTTCACCTGAGGTTTCATATCCGATGCTGTAGCGACTGATCTTTATTGCGGCCTCATTTTTATGATGCAAAACGTATTTGTGAGAGAACTACTCTTACACTGATAACTAAATTAAAGAAATGGCTTCAATCAATTCATTTTATTAATCATTAGTTTCAGCAGAGCCTGAGGTGCTTACAATTTCAATATTGGTAAATCTTTAAAATTACTTTTAGCATTTCACAAAGATTTTTTTATGAATGTTTAATCACTGCTTGTCACAAAGATGTGTGTGTGTGTAGATCAATATTACCTATGTTAACGTCACGATCAATGCACAAAAGGCACACAAAAAATCGAATGAGGGGAAATCAAAATTGACCCAAGGAAGATGTCAAAAACAAGGTTGGAAGGGCAATACCCCCATAATTCAATAAATTTCACAATTACTTTATGTCAGATAATTTCAAAAGAACATCAAGAACATGTGTATGAAACAATATGTGGCATGTAGGTTACAGGAATCCTGGGAGAACGAAAGTCCACCAGTAGCAATTACCACCTGCAATCTTGATATGTGATGTCACGGAACGAAATTCCATATAGTCGAATATCCAATACAGGACCTCGTGAATGTGCTTGGTTCGATAATTTTTTTTATATAATACTAGGAAGCGGAGTTAATACCTCTAATACCAAATATAACAGACATATAAACATGTATCCACAAATACAAATTTATTACAGACATTATTACCCTGATGCATGATATAATTGGTTGTAATGGCGTGGGAAGACAGGTGGTAGTCCCCGTAATAATTGACGAGAAGGAAAATGACAACGAGGAAGATTACCTGATTGGCTTTTGGAAGGCACTCCAGTATACTAAGCATGAGTTTGGCGCTTCCATCCGGGTCGCTAGGCAACCGTACACTAAGGGCGTCGAGCAACATTTGGTACAGCGCGTTGGTGAAAAGAGGTTCTGGAAGTTCTCGTAAGTAGTCCTTCATGACACCTACAATATACAGCGTAAAACTAGATTATATTACTTCACTTGCTTCCATTAGTGCAAATTGTCCCTTTAGCCTTATGTTAGAACGTCCACCTGTAAAGTGAGAGATTCAAGCCCCAAAGTAGGCAGACTTTATCGTCAGACTATTATAAATTTGGTGCCGTTGAACATTCCAAAGCTACAGTAAACTTTGAAACTTCGATTTACCTGACGAAACTGTGATGCATTTTATTTTTAGAGGCGACGATTTTGTGAACTTTGTGACGGGGAAAGTCGTGAAAAGTAAAGAGTACATGTCGTTCGATGAGCAAACAAGAATGTCCAATATGTCTAAAGATAGTTGTTAGTGCAAGACTAGCGCAGACTTGACGCTTTTTCGACTCCCTTCTCAAATACAAATGTATTACTTTATCACATCAATGTATAGCCTTCAATATTGATACAAAAAATCGCCCTTCGCATGTTTATTGATTTGTAATAGTTTTGAAACGTGTTCTTACCATTGTTATAAAATCACAAGGACGAAAATGATCCCTAAAATGATGAATCTCGCTGAAATATATTGTGCTGGAAATAACGATACCGTAAACATGACTGACGTCACCAAGAAAGAATTAGTGATTATGATAGTACATATTACCAGGACAAAACTAATAACAATGTCACGAAGGCAGAAAAATGCTACGTGGTAGACAGTATTAAAATTAACCTGTTCGTAGTAAGAAGAAATTAAAGTCACCACGATCGTAGTACATGGCAAGTTACTGTAACCTAATGTTACCATAAAACTTCAAATAAATTCAATTTACTGCAACCTTAGTACTAGGGTAGCTACCACAATAGCAATACTATCCATGTCTCTAAGACTTCAGTAGGAACACTTGCGTGACTTATTGTAATATACAAGGAAATGCCTCTTCGGTTTGGACTACGGAAGAAAATCGTCCCACAAGTCTAGTCAAATAAACATTACATCCAAAGCATTCAACAATATCATAATATAATGATCATCAAAAACATCGGCAAAGATTCCATTTATATCTCTGCTATTACGGTGAAGTGTTTAACAGTATACCAACTGGCACTAAATATACACATCGAAAACAGAAAGCATATCAAGCTTGATTGAAACATTATTATATATTATTACAGGGTATATACCGCGCATGTTGTGGTTTAAACAAACTGAAGTAAACAATATCAATACTGCGTTTGAATGTTTCGAATATTTTGACATGGCTGTTCTTTATCCCCATTATACTGGCAGGAAAGTCAGGACTACCGACTTGAAATTGTGCTCATTTTTAAAAAGTGCAAGATCAGCAGTTTTATCGAACAAACGCATGTGCATGTACAATTATTCCCCCCGGGGACCGCGTTTTTAAATATTGCTGATAACATTTCGTGTGTAATATCAATTTATTACAGATTAAAACACAATTTCCCATAAAAATGTTTTATTTTTTCCAGGAATTGAAATCAGGACTGGTTTTGAACAGGCACTGCTAAACTGTGTCTTCAGAAGCAGTACAAGTGAACACAACAATATCGTTGATGTTATCGTTGCATGTCAGTTCTGCCAATAACGTATGCATTCACATATAGATGACATAAAAACAAGTTGAATATTAAACAATATTTTGGTTAAACTGGGCCTCATTTCATATATACTTTTCAGTGAAATAGCACACGTAGTTTCGAGCGCAGAGGAATTTGCACGCGTGCACAACAAGAAGTCATGAAGTGTACATTTCTTGAAATAAGGAGATATATAGTGTGCTTTCAAGTGTGCGATGTATTCAGCAAGGTGTATGTACGCGTGCGACACGTGGGTGTGTACGAGTGCGCATATAATGAAAAATAACAATAAATGTTGGCACCTCCAACAACTTTGCACGAAGCTTGTATCGATTGTGCTGCCCCCATCTATCACAGACAAAGTCTGACATCGGCTAAGGTAACCGTCTGGGTACCGGCTTCTCACAAAAATAAATATCTCAATATCATATTATCAATTCTCCAACGAAAAAGACCTCAGAAGCCTCATTAAATATATTTATTTCTATAGAAAGTTGACAGATTCGAAATCGCGCATGCAGGTTGATGTTTCAAATAAATTTTGGACTGAAAAGAAAGAACTGCAGGTAATAAATTTTAGTTAACACGGTATTAGGCTCGCTAGCACTAAGCAGACCTGCTCTGCCAGCGTCAGGGCCAGGGCGTGCTAGTGCCGTCATGTATTGCCAACCGCTCCGGAGCCGTGTTATGCAACAACTGGAGCTGGCGATGACTCATTGTCGTTGGTGTCTGGAGCTGGCCGACAGTCACTTGTCCCGGGTATTGTATGTCACAAGTATTAAGTATTATCGGTAATCAGTCGATAATATTGTCTGTAGCTATAATTTATAATGCAAATCCGTAAATGGATACCAGTCTCCATAGTTTTGTCAAAAATATCACCTCCATGAGTGTTTATTAATCTCCGACAGAGTCTATTGTATATCTTCAGTATTGTCTGTCGTACATCTTCGTTATTGCCTGTCATCATCCTATGATATTGTCTGCCATCAGACTTCGGAACTCCCTGTCGTATATATTCGATATTGTCTGCCATCAGCCTTCGGCACTGTCTGTCGTATATATTCGGTTTTGTCAGCCATCAGCCTTCGGCACTGTCTGTCGTAAAAATTCGGTTTTGTCAGCCATCAGCCTCCGGCACTCTCTGTCGTATATATTCGATATTGTCTACCCTCAGCCTTCGGCACTGTCTGTCGTATACATTCGGTATTGTCTGCCATCATCCTTCAGCACTGCCTGTCTTATATATTCGATATTGTCTGCCATCAGCCTCCGGCACTCTCTGTCGTATATGTTCGATATTGTCTGCCACCAGCCTTCGGCACTGTCTGTCGTATATATTCGATATTGTCTGCCACCAGCCTTCGGCAATGTCTGTCATACATATTCGGTATTGTCAGTCATCAGCCTTCGGCACTCTCTTTCGTATATATTCGGTATTGTCTCTCATCTACTTTCGGCACTCTCTGTTGTATATACTCGGTATTGTCTCTCATCAACCTTCGGCACTCTCTGTCGTATATATTCGGTATTGTCAGCAATTAGCCTTCGGCACTCTCTGTCGTATATATTCGGTATTGTCTCTCATCAGCCTTCGGCAATGTCTGTCATACATATTCGGTATTGTCAGCCATCAGAATTCGGCACTATCTTTCGTATATATTTGGTATTGTCTGCCATCAGCGTTCAGCACTGTCTGTCGTATATATTCGGTAGTGTCTGTCATCAGCCTCCGTCACTCTCTACTGTATATATTCGGTATTTTCTATCATTAGTTTCTTGTATTATCTATTGTTAATTTCCGATATTATCCGTCGCCTATATCCATTACTGTCTGTAGTCAGTCTCCGTTATTATCCGTCATTTTCCGGTATGATAGGTCGTCAATCTCCGGTGTTTTCTGTCACCAGTCTCCGGTATATCCTGGTATTTTTTGTTTCCAGTCTCCGTACCGTCTCTCACCTGGATTAGTTTCCATATTCGAAGCACACACACACACACACGCGCGCACACACACACACACACACACACACACACACGCGCGCGCGCGCGCGCGCGCGCGCGCGCGCGCGCGCGCGCGCGCGCGCGCGCGCGCGCGCGCGCGCGCGCGCGCGCGCACACACGCACACACACACACGCGCGCGCGCGCGCGCGCGCGCGCGCGCGCGCGCGCGCGCGCGCGCGCGCGCGCGCGCGCGCGCGCGCGCGCGCGCGCGCGCGCGCGCGCGCGCGCGCGCGCGCGCGCGCGCGCGCGCGCGCGCGCGCGCGCGCGCGCGCGCGCGCGCGCGCGCGCGCGCGCGCGCGCGCGCGCGCGCGCGCGCGCGCGCGCGCGCGCGCGCGCGCGCGCGCGCGCGCGCGCGCGCGCGCGCGCGCGCGCGCGCGCGCGCGCGCGCGCGCGCGCGCGCGCGCGCGCGCGCGCGCGCGCGCGCGCGCGCGCGCGCGCGCGCGCGCGCGCGCGCGCGCGCGCGCGCGCGCGCGCGCGCGCGCGCGCGCGCGCGCGCGCGCGCGCGCGCGCGCGCGCGCGCGCGCGCGCGCGCGCGCGCGCGCGCGCGCGCGCGCGCGCGCGCGCGCGCGCGCGCGCGCGCGCGCGCGCGCGCGCGCGCGCGCGCGCGCGCGCGCGCGCGCGCGCGCGCGCGCGCGCGCGCGCGCGCGCGCGCGCGCGCGCGCGCGCGCGCGCGCGCGCGCGCGCGCGCGCGCGCGCGCGGCGCGCGCGCGCGCGCGCGCGCGCGCGCGCGCGCGCGCGCGCGCGCGCGCGCGCGCGCGCGCGCGCGCGCGCGCGCGCGCGCGCGCGCGCGCGCGCGCGCGCGCGCGCGCGCGCGCGCGCGCGCGCGCGCGCGCGCGCGCGCGCGCGCGCGCGCGCGCGCGCGCGCGCGCGCGCGCGCGCGCGCGCGCGCGCGCGCGCGCGCGCGCGCGCGCGCGCGCGCGCGCGCGCGCGCGCGCGCGCGCGCGCGCGCGCGCGCGCGCGCGCGCGGCGCGCGCGCGCGCGCGCGCGCGCGCGCCATCGAGCACGTTTCCTATACAAGTAGTTGATCTTGTATATTTTTTAATGCTTGCTATTTTTTCACACAAACGTTGGGATAGTCAAGATATACTGAATATAGCGCTTAAAACAGCATACAAATTCGATGACGTCACATGTATACGCATCCGACTGACGATTTACTGGGGTTTATCTCATGTAAAAGAACGGTTAGTACAGATCACCTACGATTAAAAACACTTTTGAGAAATTACAGAAGACCTTTCAACGATTTAGTTCCATTTTACAGTATGGGTAAGGATTTTTAAATCAATACAGGTCTCTCTCGTGGTTTATATTATCGTTTGATAAAAGCTTAAATTTCTAAAACAATGAAAGAATATTTTAGCGAGACTTCTTGTATTGTTTTATATAAGATAAGAACTTCCTGTTTCCAGCCCTAAGGTTTTTGCGTATAGGTAACGGGAGTACATTTATGTTCGTTGAAATATCTGTAACCAGTCAGAAATCAAAACGTCAACGACTTTCGTTGAGCAAGATCTCACATCGGTACACACGTTAACGAAGAGGGGAGATTTATATGTAATCGCTATCAGACTTAGCGTTTATGGTATCAAGGAGACATTAGACCGCCATCCTTCCACGAGGGAACAATTCGTCTTCAATTACACGCTTTTATTCTCCGCTGGATATTCAGAGTCAATCGAACACTTGGGCACTATTAAATCAATTTCCATCAGGCGCTCTAAAGCTTTCAAAGTAAACTGACTGGTCAGCAAAAAATTAGAGATGCAAATTTTAGAAGGGAAACGGGTGAGAATACATTGATGTGTAAATAAAAACAAATTTTACACAACTATCTGCCTAACATCAAAGTAGACACAGCTGCACTCTTAGATTTTCCTGATAATGACTAAGGTTTCCATCAAAAGAGACGGCTTTAATATTGATACTTTGCTATGTAAAAGTTTGCCTTGATCAAGTATCTCGTTGGAGTTTCGAGAAAAAATTTTAATTAGCTTCACCTCTACGTGTCATTGTAGCGATACAACACCTTGGGGACTATTTCTGTCGGCGCAGTCTTGAACAAACCATGTGGCCCTTACAGTTTCAAAATGATGCCGCAGATATTGTGTAAAAAGGTAGGCGTTACCGAACGTTTGATGATAGTCATAGGCGCTTCAAAATATGTGTCAACTTATTCAAGGGGACTCAAGTTAGCATCAGGTTTGTTACTGGAATCTCCAGTCTCCAATAATGAATCCGCTACTTATTCATATGGTGTGATTCGTTTTGGAATGTATGTTGGTATTGCTTGATTAAATATTTCTATGATTTTCTGCAGTACTAAAACACCGATTCATGTTTACCTGTAATTGTGATTTTTATTCCTGTTGATAAAAGGCTAACATCGTGTTTCATCTGTACATGTAATTCATCACAGTCGCAATCTGAGCCCGACAGATTTTTATTTAAATATCAAGCCGTCTAGCAAATATTTGAGCCGCAACAGCAGAAAGTAGTTCCTGTATTGACTGATAAAATCACAGACCGACAAATTTAAATAGACACCTACGTGTAATGAGTTCTGGTATAATGAAAATGTTCTTTGTAGAATGAATTATTTCCATTGTTGTCTTTGGCAATGAGCATTCAGTAACGGGCAATATTCTACATTGAATTTATTTAAGCCCTTGAGGCAGGCTAACACAAAAACATGTTATTAGTAACACATTTTGATTAAAATATAACGACTGACGTTGGTTTGATAGATTTCATGGTGTCTTTTGTTGATCCCTACACTGCGCCATCAAAATAAAAAAAGCAAGATTCAATCATATTCAACAAACAATATCTATTTGTCTTATTAAATTAGAATGCCTAAATATAATCGTTTCCATAAGCCCCGAAACGATACTGAACGTATACTTACCCCTAGAGATAATGAAAAAGAAATGATATCCCGATATTTTCTTTATATTTACTATCCAAGCACATTTTTCAATGATGAGGTCTAAGTGATATCCATTATTCATTCCGAAAGTTTTGGCAATCTCGGTTATGTGTAAATGTTTAACTTTTTAAAACGATCTTTCTCCGTAGGGAGCCTATGATAATTCTTTGATATCGGATTTTTGCAAATAACTGCTCCGTGACACTGTTTAATGACTATCGATATTTCTGTTCTTGCACTGACGAAACGCAATATATCTTCACATTTTTTTTTTTTTTTCTAAAAAATAAAAAAAACAAGAGGCCTGCATTGCTCACCTGGCTAATTTAACTATTCAGCCATTTTACTGAAAGTTCCATACTGGATCCTACCCTTGTGGCTAAACAGAGGTCAGATTCAAGATTAACAGTTTAAATAAAAATTATTTCCCATCCTTAAAGAATGCTTCTCATTACATCTCGGTCATTTTCATCATTCCTATAGAAGGAGTAAGATTTTAAAGAACTTGCAAAATTTCCCCTTTTGGACCACGCCCCTCCAGTCCCATTTTATCCAATGATACTTCTGACTAAATTTGAACGACGTCTAATCATTCCTAACGGAGGAGTAGGATTTTAAATAATTTACTCTATTTCCTCTATTGGGCCCCGACCCTCCAGCCACTGAAAACAGAAAAGCAATATTTATACAAACTTGACTCCCCTTTCCCCAAGGTCAAAATCTGTGTCGACGTTCATGACTAGAAAAAAATGACAACTTTTGTCCTTCGATATTTAATTTATACATAGCTCACCTGTAATCACATGAACATCTGATACGTTTTCAGGAGAGAGACTGACCGCCATCACATTCATTTCGAAGGCTTCCCTCAGCTGAGCCTTCCGTCGGGCTGATCCACACAGTCGATGTATCCCTACCACCTCCAGACCACGGCGTTCTATCTCGTCCACACATTTCTGGATCAGAATCGGAACATTCCGTAACGCCGTCTCTCGTTTAATGACTGTTTCCAAGTCGATACCGAACACACCGTTTTTCCGAGCAGAAGAAATTCTTTGAAAGCACACAGCTGGATCACGGTATAGAAAAGTTACATATAATAGACCTTTAGGTTCCATTTTCAATGCGACACTCTTTTTACCACTTCCGGTGATGTAGCTAGGCAGCATCACGGTTCCATGGAAGCAAAGACGATGTTTGAAATTTGGATCCCAATTGTAAATAAGAAATGACACATCTTTAGCGTCCTCGAGTTCAATATCAAATGCTTCATCCCAATCAAAATTAACAGCACCGGTACGTATCATGGTTCTGGCCTTGTTCACGGAATCAACAGAAACAACACAGTAGAGATCCCTAAGGGACATCTTAGAAGATTTTAGACCTTGTCCCGATAAAACGTGAATTCCCAGAATTCCATTTAGACCGGAAGTTCTAGATAATTCTATCCGTCTTCGCATATCTGCCCTGTAGAATTCGAATTCACTATATGCTATTTGAAGAGGTTTTTTAACCAATTGTAAATCTTTAAACCTAGAGGAAGGCCGAGATATAGTCTTGCCATCCCTGTCTATTGTTTTTGCCCTACTTTCAACCGCACTTGAGGTAGATAATGAAGCAGGTAGTCCACCCCGAGAAACCGGATGGTAACCGGGCATAAGTCTTTGGTCATGCGTATGGGAGGTCTCTGTTGTCTCAGCCTCGCCTTGATATGTCCTATACTGATGCAATGCGTCTGCGCTATGTTTGCGCACAAGCTTTGTATGAGCAGGAGTCTGTGTAGATGCTGCCTTACGAGCAAGGGTGGGAGATATAGTTTTGGGTCCCGGGGGTACTGGCGGTTGACGAGGAGTACATATGTAACTGTATTCATCGGAATCACTCGTTGGTACTTTTGGTACTGGCATCTTGGGAGTTTGTACACCTGAAATAACAGACAGGAAATATCAGAAATATTGAATCTTACTATAATTTCTGCCTTCGGAAATCTCGGCACTATATATTCCATACAGCGATTATACCAAATATTGTAGTGCGTTATTAGGAAAAATGTCATGCTTCACATCAGTAACATTTTAAGTACTACTTCGACGCTAAATTTTCATTTTTCAGTTACTGCAGCACTCTCTCTTCTCCTATTTTTCAATTTAATTAATATTATCTGTTAATAGATAGGTCACATATCCGGATTGTCCATTAATAATCAAGTAGAACACGCATATACTGCCTTTCCGTAAGACGACAGCCTCTATTGATGGTGAAGTGACAGCTATAGCAAAGGACGCCCAAGACGCCGTTTTGTCACGTTGTCCTTTGTACACTAGTATAAACCTTAATTATACTAGCAAGGTAAACATATACAACGTCAACGCTTATCGCCCTTGCATAGGTATAAGACACATTCAAGATATGGTTAAAGCATACAAGTTAAACACCTTGACATGTCTACAAAGACGTACAGACCAACATTTATATAGCATCCATGCGTCTCTTGTGGTAAAGACATTTCATTCAGACATATCAAATATACTTTAAAAATTACAAAGTTGAAATTAAAAGTTTTAAAAATACAGGAAGCTAACTTAACATTAGGTGATTGAAGACAGGTGTAGAAAAGCTAGATAGTAACATATGAGAACATGATAACGGTACATGAAAACAAATTTCCAAAGGACATCCAAGGGACTTGACGCTGTACCCAATGTTAATTAAATGTCCAGTAAACGAATGGTTCGAAGGGAGATCCCACAGAAGAATGCTCGGTGTAAGTAAAACTGTTATAAATTTCTATGGTGGCACTCGTTGATAAACGAGGAATTCGAATCACGTGTCTTATTCTTATAATTATTATTGAAAACTAAGTGCACAGCGAGTATTTGTTGCATTGTGGTGTCGGGAGTAAACTATAAAAAGTGTACATAATTGATAGGCAGGTAATTGTACATTATCAATGGGCAGGTGATTGTAATCATGATGTGAATTCGAGCATGATTACTTTTCAAAATCTGGGCTCGAAAAACAGCGTAAGGTCTAGATCTGCAAGCGCGTGTTAGATCTCTTCGTGCTTCATAAAACTAAAATGTGGTAATCCCCGCATCCATGAGACTGCTTAACTGACTTTAAATGGCTAACTGTCGATTGGTCGTTGAATAATATAAAACAGATTTATGACATAAACAGTTCTGAGTCGGCGGCCGAGATGGAATTTTTGCTTTGGTTGCAGTTACAAAATCCCGTAGTAAACTAGCGATGAAGTATTAACGAAGGTTTTATTATGAAGTCAGTTGTTGTTAATTGGAGATTAAGTTTCAGGTACCTAAACTGTCTGTTCCGCTCTACTTTATCGACCATATTTAGATTAGAATCCATTGATCGGGCCACAACAATCAATCAATGCTTCAGACTACCACGATCTCTGAGAGTACCAGAATCTTCTATCTCCAACACCCATTTATGGGGGATATGGAGGAAAAATCATAACTGAAGAAGTATATCTATAATCTGAAAAGGAACTCTTTATTCAGAAACTATAAGTTTAAAAATGTTAATTATAAATAATATGTTTCGTCGTTTAGTATTGGAACAACGAGGTAGTATGAGGTGCCAAGCCAGATGTGTAAATTATCCATGAACGGGTCACACATGTTGTTGTGACCTATCCTGGGTAAAGATATAACTATCTACCTTTTCGTAACTTCATTTCGTTCTGATACAAATAATTATTCCATTTAGCGATATCTGAAGTTATCGAAACTGAATTCTTTGCCATGTTTTTCTATACTTCTGTGCGAACAAGATCGTTTATTATATAAGTGTCTGCTAAAAGTGAAAGCAGATAATATATTTTAAGTGTCTAGCATTTACTCAAATATCAATGCATGAATACAGTTTGTTTTGGTTTTTATGTTAACTCCTATTAACAGCAATGGTCATTGATATACTTTACTGGGCATAACAAAGGAGAGGCAAAGAAAGACAATTTTCGTTTTGAGGACAAAAACTCAAAGACTTCATATTCAAACAATTAGCTTTGGCGCCTGTACTACTAAATGAGGCCGTGTTTTCCAGTGATCCACTTCTCTCCGGGCAAAGGTTCAATATTTTATATAGGATTTTGTTCTATTTCCCAGAAATTCGCCCTAGTTACACCAGATGCCTAAGGTTTAAAATACTATTCAATTCTTTGTCCAAGATATTTATGTTATTCATAACTTCGTAGGAAAATATGACACATATGATTAATGTCTTAATTCTAATTCCTTAATTTGCTTCCGTACTGATGTCACCAGCAAGTATCTCGAAGTTCGCAATAACCGATCCTAATTACTTTTCCCCGTTTGTATCTAATACATTTCTAGTGACCGATGAATACCCTTGTGGAGCCTCGGAGCTTTTGATGACTGGTGAATCACCCGTAATCCATTACATGACATGATGAAGTGCACGTCCTGAGGTGAGAGATTATCCGCGTCGCATGGATTCAGCATCAGATACAGAGGCTGTCAGCAGCTGCATCAGTGTGCTGGAATTTTGACCTTTGACCTCTAGATATCAAATTCGAAACCGTGGGAGAAAGTAGAAATTGCAGTTATGATTCTATGACACACTTCCTGGTTCAGATATAAGCATATGTAATATAAATCAATCGGTACTTAAAATAAATAAAGATTACATTTGTTTGAAATTAATCAGAAGGAGCGTTTCCGCCAAATGATTACTGATATTATTCATTCCATACGGGTTCAGTCCAGATATGGTCAGTTTTCTTGGTAGGAGGTGTCACAACAGGGAGTATTACCAGAAAAAAATCTACAAAGTGTGTTCCATTGATGACAGATTCTTTAGTTTCTACACATTGTAATTCGATGAAGACGTTACATTTTCTCATAGCTGCATACATGTATATCTAAAGGCTTCGTGTGAAGGGTGAATACTCTTTATATAATTAATAACCGTAAAACGTTAATAAGTTTGGATTTCCAAGTTGTCGTGGCTTACTGCTATATTTATCACACACAGATTGCAAATACACTGTGCATATATGTAAAGAATTAATCGAGGTTTCAAGTGTTGTCATTACTTCAACAATAAGATCTTACATCGATAAATCAGAAACACTTCTCTAGCCGTTTCCATCAGCAAATAAATATTTTGCTATGAGTTTACATCGCTTTGCACAGAGGACTTGATGATGGATGAGAGTAGACACAATACATAAAAATAGCAGAAAAAAACATTACATATACTACAGAAACAACAAAACAGCTTTGATATCTGTAATATTCTAAAGTATATTATGCCATACTGTTGCTTCCTGTGCCATCAGGCAGGGTTATACAGGTGAAATTCACAAAATACGAACATGTATTATTTCAGTTTGCTATCCCTTAACGCTTTCATATAAACAGGAAGTGGCACATGTTTCAGCTGGTTTGTGTAACCAGTAATTATCACAAAATGTTTGCAAGCAGGAGTCTGTTTTTTAACTGATCACGACTGACACATTCTAGATGATACAATTTAAAATCCAATTAATATTTGAACATGAAGTATCACTTGTTGCAAGATTGAATGATCCATTTTTTATTTTGGTTTTATTCTTTTTTTTTTTTAGTTCTACTTTTTATTTGAATTATTTAACAAGATCCATCAATCTGTTGACACTACCTGAGTACCGACAACCTTTCCTGCAAGGATATTTTCGAACATTTGTAATTCCTCTACGAGAAATATATATAATACTCATATTCTTTCGTATAATTTGGAAGATAAAACAGAAATATTTTTCAAAATTTCTGGAATTCCTGTACAGCTAAGTACCAATACTTTTTGATTTTCTATCTCTGGAGAAAATAATCCCTAGCTTTCATTATCTGTTCCATGGATAAAAAGGTATCACTGTTTCGTTTTTCATCCCTTCGTGATAAATCAAATATACATATTACCCAACTTCCTTTGTATGGAAAATATAACATATATATGTTTAAAGATACTTTTACAGATTCCACTCGTAAAACTTCACAAGAACATGAATCAAAATAAACGGTTCCCATACTCACCACTAATGATTAAAATCTGCCCGTTCGCAAACAATATCAATGTGATACTCTAGCTAATCTTAATTAATGACGTCATGTTTTCAACTCGTGGCTCTAACAGCCACTGAATACGGTGTCGAGTGAAAGGGAGAAAAAAAAACGCACCGGAAGTGATTTAATTGCGTTGAAAGATTTGAAGAACCGTGATGAAACCCCAAAGGCTTAGTTTAATGTTTCTATAGTAAAAGTCTGACGGCTACAGCTATTTCGAGATTTTCATTACAGACCGTTTCATCTTGCAGTTAAATTTGAATGTTGCTTATTGGTGTCGCTCAGAGGCATTGCACGCCTATGGCTGTTCGGCGACAGCCTCGCTTTAGACATCACTGATTTTGTAAGTAGGCCACAATAAATGACACCGAGATTTCTGTTACGTAATACAAGCAACTTGTATTATTGAATAAATATTTTTACCCGTTAAATTAGTTAGATCTGGTATGTATCCTCGATCAAATTAGCATTTTTTTCTTTCTATTTCTCATTCTTAATCAGACAACTATACAAACTAACAAATACATTATCAAGTACAAAAACATATTACGTTCAATCTGTCGTTATCCTAACAGAACACAGTGATATCGCATAAGAACTTTTCTTTCTAATTTTCAATAACCATTTGTCGCATTTCCGAAGAAAATAACAAAATCAAATGGATTTTAAATGACTTCTACAGATATTAATATCCAGATCACAATATATATATCTTCATGGTTAAAATTGGCCCCAAGTGATCAAATATTTCAGACTATCAGGAAAACCGGACTGTATGACTGTTAAAAGAGGGACCTTTTCATGGTGAAAATTGCGCTTTAAGTATGATAACATA